GATGAATTCATGAGTTTTCCGAGGGTGTTGAATGACGAGAATGGTTTCATATCTGAATCATTTATAATGAAAAGTTCGGATCTACAGTAGATGAAATCTTATAATGCAAATTTGGAGAGCTCGAGTTCGAGGTTATTTCAGATTTTCGGAATCGTTTACTAGAACATATTAGAAGATTCAATAAATTCAAAACATAATAAACCATTCGAAATTTAATAATTGCGCGATGCTCGTAAATCCACTAGTTTGAGAATTAAAAAAATATTCAAAAATCTCATTCAAATGATTTTTACTACAAAAAAATAAATACGACAATATTGAGAAGAAGAAAACGGGCAAAAAAATGATTTGGCGAGGGAAATTGATTGAGAGGCGTCGACCTGAATGCGGTGGTAATGAGCGTTTAGATAACATTGAGAGATGATACTAATAGCCGGAAAACGGCCATTATTTTATCATCAGAGGCGATCGCCTCGGATTTGCTGCCGTTTGATGGCGTTACTAGTTCTCCAATTCCCCACCGACGTTCTTTTTTTTGCGTCTTGGCAGCCAACTAAAAAAAACCGTGTGCGGAAGTGGAAGAAATGCAATTATGCATCTCCTGGCAGCCAATTTCACCTTCTCCGGTTGCGTCATTTTCTTATTGTATGTATACACAAACTGTGAAGTTCGTTTTTTTCTTCTCGCAAAACGAACACCACATTCGTGCCGGGGGGATGATGATGATGAAGACGGCGTTTGCCGCACACAACTAATGCAATGTAGCAAATACATAATAATGTGAGTAATTAGGTAAGATACTCTTGCGTCTAGATTCGTAGGCGACCTTTCGAATTACTTTCATGTCAGCGATATTTCGAAGGCCGCTTCTTTGAGTTCGCGGGCAGCGTGAAATTAACAAATTGCATTCAAACCCCCTCGGGAGATGTTGTTTCAAGAAACCCCAACTGGAGACGATTGTAGGAATCGGCGGGGGATCGAAGGAACCTTGTGCTTCGATCAAGGATGTGCCCACGCAAAGTTTTGTGTTCAATTCAGTGGGTTGCTGAATTCTACCATGTTGACCTTGGATTTTGATGCTCATAGAACAATACGAAGAAAGTCGCACCATGAGATATCCTCGGAATTCTTGCATGTCTTGATCGCAACTCTAATTGCTCATGTTTTGAGGAAATTTTTTAAAGTTGCTTCGGCGTCCTGCTGTACTCGGGTAGATTTACGGGGTCTCTAACTGGCTATTTTCAATTTTCTGGAAGAGCTAGATAATTGTCAAATCGTCGAATGACATTGGAAATTCCAAGAAATGCCATACTCATAAGAAAATTGAAGTGAAAACAGCAAAATAAGTTTTAACTCGTGGTGAGACCATTTCGAAAGGCGCACGCGTAAATCTACCCAGATCATATAAAAAAATGCGGATTAATTGTATTTAAAATTGCATTAAATCAAAAAAAAGTTTTAAAATCTTAAAGATCACGTGCTTTTTAAATTTTATGGTCACACTTTCATGGAAAACCAAAAAAAAAACCATTTAAAAACGTAATAATGTTGATTTGGGAGAAAAACGAGAAAACGATGACACGGTGGGGCCGAAATGATCGAATAACATTTACGCTGGTCACTATCATCACCATCATCATCATAAACGCAGAAAATGGTGGCTCGTAAATCGAGAGTGAAAACATTGGTCATCTTCTCATTCCAAAAGCGGCGGCGCATTTTTCTGTTCGGAAGCCCCCCCGTACCGACGACGACGAAAAAACAATGAGAAAATGATGGGAGTGGGGATGATCGAAACGAATACGTTGTAGAGGCAACAATTAGCTTTTAATAACACCTTGATCCTGAACACATCCACAACCAAATATGGTGGTGGCGAGACGGGGGGGCTGGCGACCAGATTCGGCGCGGAACTCTCACACACTCGCCGCGATTATTGTTTGATCACAACCAACCAAAAAAAAAAGGAACGACTGGAGAAGAGTAAATTGCAATTGGAAGAACAAAGTGCGGTCGCATAGTTAATGAATGCCGATTCCGGCAAATTGTGTTGCATTCTAAGGGGAATTGTGTCCATCATCAATATCCATTCTATAATATCCAATAATTACCATCGTGAAACAGAAGCGAGTAGCGGACCATTTTCACGTTTTTGATGCGGCTATTCAAATTTCGAATAAAGCAGTGACAATTTGTGTGTCGTATTAAAGATAACCCGCATATTAAACTCATGGGTTATTACAGTAACCAAAGGGGCTAAATTACAGAAATAAATTACAGTAACCAAGGGTGCTCTTTTTTTTATGAAATTGTACTTTCCGCCGTCGTGCGACTGTGGAATATTCGCTAAATGCCAAAAAATTTAAAAAGTCGGTCTCGATGTACAGTGTGCGCCTTTAACCTTGCCCTTATACATAGGCCCGTAAATCTACACTATTAGTTTTTTGCCAAGACCATTGCCATATTTTTTTTGGCATTTAGCAAATTAAAAAAAATCAATAACAGTGGGGTTTTGTTAGCATAATTTTAAGCAAATTTTAAAGATTAAAAGTACAATTTTTAAGATGCTTATTTATTTTGAACATGAAATTTCCGGAAATTTTTTACCGCCCATTTCATTGTGAATTATAAAATAAATGATACCACAATTTCTAGAAAGAAGACGTTTGAAAACATATTGTCGGCCAGGTCTCGTAATTTTTTCTCTCAAATTTAATTATAGAGCGTTTCCCAAAAGAAAGTGGCTACCTGAATTTTTAGATTCTCGTTTATATAATGAATTTCGAAAAAAAGAAATAAACGAGCACGCACACGAACCGCAACGCGTCCGCCGACATTGAATTATTACGTTCTTTTTGTGAAACAACAGCCATTTTTCATATTCCTGGAAAATACGATTTTTTTTAAATTCAATAGTACGGTATCCGAAATTTAAATTCGGATACCGTATTACTGACAACCCTGGCGTTGCTAAATAATATTATCCGCGTCACACCACGCTGCAACGCACGCGTGGCCTAGAAAAATTGTCTTCAACAATTTGGTTCGGCCACGGCCACACTCGATGGATTAATTAATTTGATTAAGTGGAACTAAATGAATACGTATATATTTTGTGTAAATATCAAAATAAAAGTCAAAACTTCGTAGAAATACAAGAAAATTACGACAAAGAATGAATTTTAAAATTTAGTATGTGATAGTGTGCCGCACTTGCAGTTTTTCTCAGAATTTGTGTGCCGCACTTGCATTTTTGCTTTTTGAAGACGTCGACCAATTTTTCTAGCGAGCCGTGATCAAACGGCTGAACGAATTTAGAAAATATTGGCTATGTGCAACTGCGTACATTGCATTATAGCATACGCGCATTGAACTTCGCGGATCGATAATTTTTATTCAATACACTAATTTCGCGATTTTGAAGGCCACGCCTCCCTTCAGCCCAACAATAATTTTTACGAGAATTTTTAAAAAAATGATATAAAATGTTTGAAATTTGTTGAAAAACAAATTGAGAACTAAAAACACGCAAAATCGAATGTTGCACTCTATCATTTATTTGCTTTTCGACTCATTTGTTCACAAAAATAAGCGAGACGAAAACAGTTTGAAAAAAAAAATAACCAAAATTTCTGGTGATGTCTTCCAAAAAAATGCTCGCAAACAAACATTTGATACACAAGAGACATTTGTGTCAAATACGCTTCGAATCCTTATACGGAAATGTGACCGGGATTGTGTGCAAATACGCCGATGAATCAGGTTTCGAAGCGATCGCAATTAAATGAACGAAACTGTCAAAAAATATGAATATTTGGGTATGAACAAATCGAAACGAATGAGGAGGGGGCGGAACAAAAAAAAACATAGAGGCTTGTTGCGGAGAAGAAGTCGCAATTAGTCGAGGGAAATCGGGGATCGACCCACTATTTGACATCAAATTGTTTGCAAAAACTTGTAAGATACGTTTCTTCAAGTGCTTTCGAGCCGTTGGGGTCAAAAAATGTCTGATATGAATTTGAGCTATGTAAGGGGATCTCTATCATTGTTGCTACCTTTAAAGGCAATTTTCTATCTGCTAGTACCTATTTTAAATTGGCGGGTTTCAAAAGTCTGAAATTTTCAGAATTGCAATAAAAATTAGCTATGAAGACGGCAGCCATACCAATCTGAAATCTCGCGTTTCGAGGGGAGTCTCAAACGCAAATCAAAAAAAGAAGAAGGCGGTCATCTCTAGCTTTCACCAAATTACTTCAGGCTTCAGAGAAACGCCGTACGTTTATGAGACCTTCTTGTTGATCTCACCCACACTGTTTAATGATTCGATTCAAGGTGCGAATACAATTTTTATGGTGTGAGAATTCGAATTGTTTTCAGACAAGGTCACGTCTTGTAAGAAGCGCTCAAATTTGGTTCCTCGCATCGAATGAAATTCAAACAATCAACAAAGGGAAAGAAGCGAGCGAAAAATAAATCCTATTAGGGAATATATCATTCAGTTTTACATCGAAAAAAAAGTGTACTATCAATCGAATTCGAATTGGGGAGGGGGGAGGCTTCTTGTTGGTTTCAGACGCCCGGTTTCGAGATAAAATCAGGCAGATCAAAAGAACTGACAACACGAACCGATTCCGATGGATTGATTGCGTCACACCAAACAGAATGAAAAGTATATGTGGAGCCGTGTTGACAAAACATCGACGAAGAACAGCGGCCACCCCCTCGGCCAAAAGCATCGTCCAAAAAAGGCGAGTCATCTCCGATTGTGCGAAATATTTGAAAATCGCCGCCAAGCGCAATTCAAGAGGCGGGAATGAGGGGAGCGGCGATCTGAATGGAATCAAAAACAAACACAACTTTTTTTTTAAATGCATGTTTGTTCGCCTGTTGTTGATGGAAACAATGCCAAACGAATCGAGATTATCGGATTTTCGCTCTCGGATTACTGTATTATTAACCCCCGGTCCCGAGGCGACGGTGCACAGAATGAATTCACATTTTTATGCGCCTGGCTTCGAACAAACATAAGAATAGATATTCCACGAGCACGTGCCGCCTAGATAGTCGTCGAGGCATTTGCATCTGAATTCGCATTGGTGCTTTTAAACTCAAAATCGCCTACTAACTTTCTTGATGTGAGATAATCGAGATTCGGATCGACGAGCCAGCATTCTTTAGTCGGCAAATAGTACGTTTTCCCAATTGGTGGGAATGGCGTAGGAAATATGAAGCCATCGGTGCCCGTCACACTCGGGTCCTTCCAGATGAACGGAAATTGTTTGCAAATGGGCGCAAAGTCGTCATAAAAGCACTCGTCGCGAAGAAATGTGTACAACCACGCCGCGTTTTTGGCCTTCTCTCAAATTCAGAATCATCATCAAATTGTGTGGAAGGCGATTTTTCGATTAATTACTCTGAACAATGTTGAACTCCATTTTGTCCTGAAGACCCGACAGCACTGCACCCTTCTGCTGGCAATACGTCCTTGCCATGTATTCATCAACCGGATTCGGATCGCTGAAAACGTTGAGGCAATATATTCCGCCGGGTCGTCGAACAGCGGCCCAGCCGTCATCGCAATGCTTTTTTTCTGAATTCATCGTTTTTTGAGCTCTGCTTCTTTTTTCTTTAGATAATCGATCGAAATGAAAACCTTGGTATTCGACTTGCATCTGATCAGATCCATCATCGATTATTGTGTATTTGACGAGCGAAGTGTTGCCGTAAATTGTGCCCTGCGGTTGTGTTTTTTCACAAATCATTTTCGAACGAGAAACTCTTACTGAATTCGGTATTTTCAATCCACTCTCCTTCGAACATTCGTTCATTTCCATATCGAACTGAAACCAAACTTTGATGTTTTAAAAACAAAATTCCAATGACGAATTTTATAAATAATGTTTCAATGCGTTTTTTTACAAATGGTTGTGCATTTTTATAATAAATTAGAGAGAATTAAATCAACCGAGGAAAAATAAACCAATAACCAATAAATTGCCTTTTTTTTTAAATATTCTATTGTCGCCCAAACGACTGAAGAGAGGCGGGGTCTTCAAATTCGCGAAATCAGTGGAGATGTAAATTTATCGTTGACTGAATATTAAATGCGCGTACGCTATAATGTAATGAACGCAATCTCGCAGCCTCGAGATGGCACATAGCCAATAATTATTTAAATTTCGTCGAGTCGTTTGACTTCGACAATAATACATTGATATTGATGCAAAAATGAGTATTTGAAGAAAAAAACGAGAATCGCCAAGTGGAAAATTTTCAAAGAATAAACCTTAAAATATTCAACTGCGAAGATTAATTTCCAAAATTTCGTTTAGGATTCTTTTTTTTTCCTCTTCCATTAAGGAAAATATATTTAAATATTAACATAATTTTTTTTCAGAATTTTCCAAACCGGCTCTTTCCTGCTCATCGCTTACCTTGATACCAACAAAAACCCCTGAGCCTGGCTTTGATTTTCGTATGACCGTCGGCCTTTGCTTGCAAATTTCGCACTTCGTCGTGTACTGTGCCATCTAAATTATCACAAGATTTTTCGAAATGAATGATCGAATGCGAATTACAATGCATTCCGGACGCGACAGGCAAAATATCATGCATTCTTCTAAATTTTTCGCAGGTTTATTAGCGGCTATCGGAGCGCATCCAGTCATTTCGGCATCGACAAGGTGCATCTGACTGAAGGCGCCTGTCTGAACAATGCACATTCATTTTTTGATTATTATTATTAGCTATTATTATAACCGTCAATTTCATATTGAAACAGAATATCGCGATGAGAATATCGAGCATTGCCAATGGGAAATATTAACTTTTGAATTTCTAGAACAAACCGAATTCGTTGATTTATTCGACGAATGCATTCGAACGTTGCGAAGAAACTCGCATCATCCAAGAAAAAAGTTGACATTGAAATATTGAAAATGGCTTTTGCTCATTCTTTATTAACCCACGCCTTTTATTGCTGGGAAAATTCGAAAAATCTTTCAAACGGGGATTTCGAAAAATGAAAAAGGATTTCACAATTGCGGATAATGCTCGGTTTTATTCCAAATATGTAATTGTTGTGACAATTGAATCAAGCTTGCTCTTTGTCTTGCTCTTTGTCTTGCGAGTTTGTTGAGCTCTTCTTTTCGCCCTTTGTAACTTCCTTTTTCGATTTCACCGAATTCTGAGTCTTTTCCACATCCGGCTTTTGATCCTTAAACTCCCATTCTTTTCCGCCGTTTTTCTATCGTCCCTGGGTTACCGACACTAAGAACGCCGCTTTAAATGATGGATAGTCGCCATCGAGTGTCGCATACGCCGGATCTTTAGCCCCTTTCTTGCCCTTGATTTCTCGTTTCGCATTTCTGGAAAAATACCTTGAAATATGGATATCAGGATTCAGTAAACTAACATAATTTTTGGAGGCGAAACCGGCTTCGTTTTCGGCATTTTTTTGCTCTTGTTCGAACTATTTTTCGATTTTCGACTTTTCTTTTCATCCTTTTCAAGGCTTTCAGCTTTTGGATCCTATAATAAATTATAATAGAAGATAATAACAATATGTAGAGATCGTATAGGCGAGAAGACGAGACGGTTGACGAGAGAGCGCCCTGAACAAAGAAACGCACGCCATCAGTCAATCGGGCAATAGCCAGTAAAGAGGTGGCCGCGGCCGAAGTCCATTTTTATTTAAATGCAAGTCCCCGTTCTAATACATTTCGCCATATTATTTTAATTCATTTATTTGTTCCCAAGCCTCACCGACCAGTTATTATTATCGAGTTTGTTATTTTTGTGCCGGTTTATTAAAATTGTTTTTTCTTCGTTCTCCTTGAATTTCAATACCGTAAAAGCTCTTTATAAGGCTTACTAAATCAATTTTAATTTTGACATTGAAATAATGAAATCTGATTCGTTTCAGTGGGTCCGATGCTAAAATAAAGGTGTCTAATTTTGTTTTAATAAGTTGATCAAATTCCATATTAAGGATGGACCAGTGGGTGCCACCATTGAGATTTTAAATATTGTATACCTCCGGTGTGTTATTCGTACTTTTCGCCATTAGATTATTATTGTTGTTGTCTTTTTTCGCTTTCAAACTTGTCGCGTTTCCACTACAGCTTATTTTGGTTCCGCCGGGCGTCGTGGCGAACGGCGACACCGACGGTGCCGTGGCGTTCGGATCAACTGTAGTCGTCGCGCCTGCCGCACCAGCAGCACCGCCCGCTGCCGCGCCACCCGCTTCATCTTTTGTTTGCTTTTTTCGTAATTTCGTTATGCACATGATTTGTGTTTCCTACAACTCATCATTACTCATTTATTCAATCAATTCAATCACCTTCAGATAATTATGAAAACGTAAAAAATGAAAAATGTGGGCAATGGTTTAACACGTATCGCATTTCCACATATTTCCAAACCAAACACAGAAAGGAATTGAGCTTAAAACTTGTTGAATTGTTTTTTTTGTGCAAATAATCGGAACGAACACTTCTAGCGACCCGTCGTTGTCAGAATAAATGGTAAGCATATGGCGTGGGTGAGAGCATAATAGGAAGTTGTGGGATGGGGGGGAGATGTCTAGTTAAGACGGTGCAATCCAGTCGGGAGTTTGTGCGGTTGCACGTAGTTGGCGGGAAGCATTCCCCATTGAAGTGTCCGTTGAACTGTTCCCGTCATCCAGCCGTCGTCAATTTTCTCGCAATTCACAATGATGTCGCCTTCCAAGAAAGTGACCTGCAATCCAATGTTTGCTGTTCATTCATCAATCCAAAACGAAACCTCGTCTTTGTCCGCAGCAGTGTAATCATAAATCGCCTTAACGGCGAATCCAGCTTTGGCCGGCTTAGCCGCTGAAGTGTTGTTAACTGCCGCCGTCGTCGTCTCGCTTTTCGGCGCAAAATCCGCGCAGAAGCGCGCCGGTCCTCGATCAACGCTGGATTCTGCAAACCAAAATGAAGATGCGTGAATTTTCAACGGATCGCCGTTCTTACTGAGATTGTCGATCTTCTCATTGTTCTTGTACGGCGATCCCATTCCATAATTTCCGTTCAACGGATCATAATCGGCAATACTTCCAACGGCTCTTGCCGGTTGTTGCACTAGAAATAATGTGGATAATTGCGACGAATTCTGTGAAATCTCTGCCGATAACCTTTTCCATTCTGCTCGGTCGAGTAGATCAAATCGCTGCTATTTCTCAACGCGGCCGCTTCGGCACTCGATCGGATGTCTAAAAACGTCGCAAACTTATTGAAATCTCAATTGAAATTTGATAGTTTGAATAAATAAGCGCACCCGGTGGCGGTTGCTCAACCTCCTTCGGCCGATTCTCTTCCTGTCGCTCTTTCTGCGCCAACACACCCGTATACGTCACATTCGATTGCGTCTGAAAATAATTGTGGAATTATAGATACTTGATCGGCAACACCATTATAGGCTACCTGCGTGTTTTTCTTATGTCTCTCCAGCTCCGGATCATCGGCGATTTCAATCTTTGTGCCCTTCATCTTCTCATATTCCGCGTGGTATTGAATCTGAAAATCGAGTTGCCTATAAATATCGAATCGTTTGAGCGATTCTCTCACATTGCTTTGCAGTTTTGTGTTCTCAGCGAGTCTCCTCATTTCCGGTGTGTCGATGACGACCGACGCCACCGTTTTCGGATAATGCCTACAACAAATGATCGAGCTCATCAATCTTGGAATGTCTTGTTTTCGAAGCACTCACGGCTCGCAATATGGCTTTTTGTCGTATCCTTTGTAGTTTTTCATGTTGAGCGTCATTCCGCAAATAGTGCACTTGAAGCACAACTTGTGCCAAACTTTATCGAGACATTTGAGCTCTTCGATCGGGTAGACGGTTTTGCCGCACTCCTCGCGAGCACACTTTTTGCTCATTTTGTCGAGACACCCTTCAAATCGAAACATTGGATATTGAAACAACAACGAGAAAAAAAGAAGAAGAAGAAAGAATCGAGTTCGTAAAAATCTATTCGAAAATTGTGCGACGGTGTGAATCAGACGAATTACACAACACGTCCAAATTAGCAAACAAAAAGCGGCAAGACGACGACGAACCACAGCGAGTGCACTGTGGCTGACAGGTGAGGAACACATGTTTTTCAAAAGCATCAGCATCGTCGACAAACATCTTGCACCACACTCTCCACCCCCACAAAAAGAAGACGACGACGATGATGATGAGGATGAGAGGGGGGGGGAGGGGGAAGGTGTTGGTCAGCGGGCGGACCCTCGAGAAAATCATTGGGATATCGAATCGAAACCACACGATGAGGAGAATTTTGAAATAAATTTGAAAAAGTGAGACATTTGGGGGGAGATTGTGATGATGTGTGTTGTCGGATCACATTACGAATATATTTGACGATGTCAAAGAGCAATTGTGGGGAGCTCGTCTGGTCCGGACGCGGTTATCATCAGTAGGCAACTTTGTGGAAGACAATTCCTTATTAGAAGCTGGATTTCCGTTCAACCATTTAGAAAGGTGCAATTTGAAAATGAGACGATTTTTATTAGAAAATGAGCAGAACAATGTTTAATCAAGAAATAAATAAATAGTTAAGAACGAATTGATATTGCGAAATCAATAAAAGAGTGAATCACCGATGAAAATGATATCATTTTTCAATAAGAACCTGCTAGAAATTGTATTAAAAAATACGGATTTTGTGTGGCCGCTAAAAAATAGAAAAAGTGAGGGCTGACAACATGTCGTGAGCGGAACGAGCCTTCACTTTAATGGGTGGGATAATGAGAGGAAAAAAAGGTACGAAATCGTTTGCGACGAAACGTTTTGTATAAAACATGCCTTCTCGAAGATGGAAGAAAGAGGAGCGGTCAAAAATATAAACGAAACAAAGAAAAGAAACAGAAAAAAAAGAGAGAAACGAGCGCAAAATTGTTGAAAAAAAGAAGGTTGGCCTCCTCCTCCTCCTCCTATTTTTACCCCCCTAAATGATGCATTTCACAAAGCAAAAAAAAAAACATAAATGCGACAGCTCTTCCAAAAAGTCTGAAGAAAATTGGCAATGGAGGCAAAAGCTATAGCGGGGGGGGGGGCTGCTGCTGCTCCTGAGGCGTTTCGAACGAAAGGGTCAGCAGCGGCGGCAACAGCTCTCGGACGGATCCTTGCGAGATGATGAGGAAAGTGTGTAATGTGAACAACGGATATTGTCTCTTTCTCTCGCTTTTGAGTGATATTAAACAATGAAAACAAATCGGAAACGGCGACGAGGCGATCGGAGGCAGCAGCGGCAGGAGAAGCGCGCGCGCGCGAATCCATCGAGCACCCGCCACATTATTGATTATCATCTGATCGATCGACGCTCTCTACATTATAATGTGTTGATCTTCGATTTCTTCAAAACGATAAAATGAGAATGCCGGCGAATAGCCATTAAAATAGGAGTGATCGACAAATTAAATAATTCCGGTGGATTAGGAAAATGACGGAAATTGGCAATGTTGGACTAGAAATTTCCACAAAAATTGGGTCATTTCGAATATTACGGCATTTAATTGACTTGACAACTGTTGGAAAAAAAAGAGCAATGGAGTGGACTTGCGGAAACGCGCTTTTGAACGGATGAAATGAGATTTGGTGGCAAACGCGTGCGGACGGCAGACATCTCGATGAACGCGCGATGTTCAGAAACCATTGAGAGTCTCTGGACGCACGAAATTCTCGCAAAAAAATAATGGACATTCACGGAAAAGCCATTTAAAACGACGTGCTCAGAAGAAGAAGAAGAAGCACTCGAAACGGGATGTCAACTTGATTAAAATCGCTGATATTCGGCGAAATTTTAGAAGGTTGACTTGACTTTTTTCGCCTTTTTTTTGCCATTCCAACCACAAAAAAAACAAAAGATTTTGAAAAAAAGGGTTAAACATTAACAAGGGAAGTCATTTTACCTCCCGTCTTGGGATTTTTTGTAATTTTGCACACGTCAACTAGGAGGCCTTCTGAATGTGTTCACAAAATTCCAGCCTACACTGGGGGGTTACAGGCGAGTTATGGCCATCTGAAAATTCAAGATGTTTTTCGATTTTCAGCAATAATTTGGGCAAGGGGTTACGCATACTCCTCTTTGGGCCCAGCTTGGCATCCAGGTGAAATGAGGAGGTATGTGTGCGGAATCCCGTAATTTATTGTTTGTGTTATTTGGGGTTCTCCTTCCAAATATCCAATTTTCGTGAAATTCCGACATACTGGATTTTCAGGACTAATAAAATTTGATCTTTCTTGGAATTTTTTATCATATAATTATCACCTGGAACATTTTTCGTATACACCACGCGATAGAGCATAAAATTCTGCATCGAATGGTACCGGTTTCATCCGGATCCATAAACATTACGATCGCAGGAGTCGACAAATCCGATTTTCGAAATTTGAGCTTCATCTCATGAAAGCTACTTAAATCGCGACCAAAAATTATAGCCCGACAACTTTTCATGTACTTTCAGATAAAAGGGATGTCATTACGCTTAAACTTCCAGGAAAAGCATTTTTTTCGAGCATTTTTTTCATTTTTTTCTTTTTCTGTGAATATCGTGGCAAATTGCCAATCAATTGTTTCTATAGAAATATCGAAAAAGGAATAGTAAAATCGGGTAATTTGCATTTTGAAAAATATGACAATACAAACACGGATCAAATTTTCGGACTACGTACAACTTTTGGGCGTTCTAATTAGTTTATTACAACGTTTCAACTTAAGTGGTCGGAGAAGATGAAATTGAATAGAGAAAGAGAAAATGATCCGATTTTTTTTTTGAGGTGGGAATGCACTTCGAATGAGTCGTCGGAATTGATGGTCTCACGACAACAACTGTTCGAGTGGACATTAGTGCAACAAAATCAGTGATGATTCGGTTCGATGAGTCAGAAGAATCGAGGATTTTTCGGCAAAAATTGAAAAAAAAAACACACACACAAAGGGTACGAAGTAAGATATGAGAAGCAGGTCTTGGAGGGAATATTAATTTTTGAGATGAATGCAGAAGCTCGCAAATGAAAATATGAGATCAAGGTCGGAAGTTTCCTTTAAAAACAACTATTATATATATAAATATATATATAATAGTTTGCGTGGTATTGGGAGCAAATGGCTCATGTATCAAATTTCCTATTAGGTTTTCGCCCAATTCGCATTACGGAAAATGAGAAATTGAATAAAAATTGCTTTTCAATTATTTTGATTGTCGGCTGAAAATGACGCGGGATATAGGAATTTGGATATTTGCGCACTGGCCGAAATTATTAAGTGCGCGTATGTTAAAATGCAAAGTACGCAGACACGCACAGCTCTGTTTGCCTCGACACACCATGGCTCAAAGCCAATTTTTTTTTGAAATTCAACTGTTTGAAACCAACAATAAAATATTTCGCGAATACGGCAGATAATTGGAGTTTTGGTGGTTAAGACAATTTTCTGTGTGGGACTACTTTTAAAGGTGCATAAATATAACACCGAAATTTTTGACGAAAAACCAACATTGTATAATAAAAAAAAACAAGAATAACTGAAATATTCAAGAATTCATATTTTTAATTCCATATAAAAAATAGAAAAGCTTGTTGTTGTGAAATATTTTGAATTGCGCGCCAATAAATTAATTTTACAAAATGCCACAATTATTTAAAATTTTAAACGTAAAATGGAATATTTTCTTAAATTATTTGCAATTATAAAATTCGAGAGCAAATTCAAAAAATATAACAAAAAAATGACATTTTGCGCAAAATTATCTAAAAAGAAAATCTCAAATTTTTTCTGTTTAGAATTGACACAAAATGATTGAAAGAAACCGACCAATTATCGATGAAATTTGATAAAATTGATGATGAATAAACGAAATGATACTCGGCGAGAAAATGGATTTCAAAAAACGAGTTTCTCATGAATCAATTGAATCGAAGATGGAAGACACGCGGGAAATCAGTGAAGAAGAATAATTGGAAATCTGCATTCAAATCTTGTGTCCAACGTTTTTCATGCGGCCCGAATTTGCATGAACGATCATGTGGCAATTTTTTTTCTCGCGATGACTATGTGTAATTATAATTAGTAACCATGCGAATAGTAAACGGACAAGTTGCGAGATTCAAAGTTATCGGCGGAGGGTCAAAAATGCGTAAAACCGTGTGCGTTCGTCCACAACCTCCTCCCCTCAACTATTGTCCTTTAATTTTCGCGTCGGCGTCTCTTCGTCTCGACGTATTTCTTCTCCGGTGATGTTCTACTCGATAAAGATTGCAAAATAAAAATCGCCAACGTCGTCTTGAATATTCCCATTTATTTATTTAGTTGTTTACTCGATTTCATTTATTTATTTTTTCGCTTTACCCAAAATTCTCTTTTTATGGCCATGGCCCAAATGTGGGGAAGAGAAATTCGGAATTTCTGAAAAATTCCGTCAACTATGTAGGGCTCTTGAAATCCAAAATCTCAAGAATTCTCGATTTATATAAATTTTAAAAATTTTCTATTTTTTTTCAATCAAATGTTTGCTTTCAAGAATGAATATTTGGGAGAATCAAATAAAATTTTTCAAAAATTAAAAAATGAGTGGCCTAAAATTTGAATGGCGCGGACTAACTTTAGCAAACGGCCATTGCGCCAAAATTTAGTTGGATTGATTTCGAAATGTTCACATTTTTGGCAAACCGGCTCAAAGATTGAATTTTATAAATTTGAAGCATACTTATATGGGGATGGACTATTTTTTTTTTCAAATTTCCGTTTTTCCAAGAATATTTCTGTCATTTTTATGTCAAAAAGAGCGGAAATTCGAAAATGTAGTCGTTCACTTGTCATTCCAACAGTTTTTCGATTGAATTTGATCCAATTTTCGCCCCGCCCAATCATCAATGATCACTCGCTAGCGGGCCTGTAAAAAACCCCCAATGACGTCAGTTTTTCTTCCCATTCAAATCGCTTGCAGAATCCAAATTGCTTTAGGCCAGAAAATAAAATTGGTTCTACAAATTTGAGTAGAAGAATGCGAAGAGGATTTCGAGAATTTTTTTTAGCTCTTTGTTTTTCTTTCTTTTTTCCTTTTTGATAAGAATATTAGTCTTATTGCAATAATTCTAGTACTAATCAACCCCCAAACATCACAATTTCATGGTACAAAAAATGCATTGTTTTATCGCAATTTTTTTGTACTTCAGCATTTCCTGACTCTGATAAGAACAAACCGTCTTCCGTGTATATTTATAGAGTATCAATTCACATTTTTTCTATTATGATTGTCGTTTTTTTTTTTTGAAAAATAATTGGCAAAATTTATTGCATTTGTTTGCACTTTTCAAATAAGCGATTTGTGTCTTTTTCGTTCGTTTTTTTTTGCTCATCAAATTCAAAACATTCTCGCCGCTTTTTTGTGTGGGTGTCGTTTTGTTTCGACGAAACAGATTCAATCTTATTTTCGATTGTCCCGATTCATAGATTGTTTTGTTGGAATTCACGTGTCTTTCTCATTTCCATTTTCAGGCGTTGTTGACGGCGAGAAATGAGCAATCAATGCGCGTCGACCGTAAGAATCCCATTTATTCGTCGGCCATAATAGGAATATTTCAGAACAACGATGAGGATCTCGAGATGGTCCGACAAGAATTTGAGCGGCTCAAAACTGTGGAGAATTTCAATCGAGTTGGAGGAGACGTGAGTGCTTCTCATCGCTATCAGTCTCGAATTGCTTCAAATTTGTGTTTCATGGAAAATCCGATGCGGACCAGAGCTGCACGGAATTCCGTTTTCTGTCACATTTTCCGTGTTCCGCTTGAGATATCTCCCAATACCTAGCATGTCTAGCGAATCAAAGAGGGTTTTAAGCACAGCCGGTGAAATTTGGTCGACAAAAAATGAAGGTCCTTGTCGAACGAGCACTTTGAAAGTCTCACATTAATTTCAAAATATTCGAGTTGGACTAATTTTCTGTTCCGCCTTCCGCCTTCCGTTTTTAGAAAATTTAAGTTCCTTGCAACTCTGCGGACCCATGAAACGTACGACGCAGAATTTTATGCTGATCACGAATATAGTAGACATTTTACATATAAATCTAAATTCACTTGAAAATTCGTAAAAGAAAACCGCATATTTTTAGGTTTTTTTTTCCATTTATAGATATGAAGCTTTCAGAAATCTTACATTAGATAGAATTTTATGCCGAATTGCGGACGCGTCTGAATTCGACTTGAACAACACCCAATTATCTGTTTATTGTAGGTAGTCCCAATTTTCGCATCCAAGGAGAAATTGGTGTGCGAAATGGTATTGAAGCCATATCATCTGAACTCGAAGGTGCCGCGCGCGTCTCCGATTTGGCAAAGAATTTTAATCTTCCTTTTAGGGCACACTTCATGGTGGTCAAACCGCGACATTGACGGATATTGTGACGGCTCGAGCCGTCGGAATGACGGTTAGGAATCAAGGAATGGCTTCAGTGGAAATTGCTGTCAGGTAATTTCCCGATGATTGGTCGTGTCGAGATCTACAACTGATTTCAGCTATTTGCTTCCGGTGAAAAGCGGAGATACGATCGAAATCACGGCGCACGTTCTGAAAGTCGGCCGGAATCTCGCATTCACCGATTGCGAATTCCGGCGGAAGTCCGATGGCAAACTGACGGCCAAGGTAGGATCCCTTGAAAATGAAAAATGTGTTGTGTGTCGGTGGAGAGCAATTTGTCGAATTTCTTTCAAACAATCGAGTTTCAATGAGCTTTGAGCACTTTTGCTCGAGTTCAACTTTTGAGCGAATTTGTCCGCAGCATGAATATTATTTTAGGGGAAGCACACAATCGCGATTCTTCCCAATCAGCCAGGTGTCTCTGTGGCGAACGGCAATCAATATTGAAATTATTTTTTTTGAGAATAATTTGCTTAATAATATTTTAAATTGTTATGTGATATAAATTATTTTCTTTTTCAATTTTTGGGCGAGTTGGTTGTTGTTTTTTTTTTGGAAAAGCCACTTGCGACGAACAGATCCATTCTGAGTCAACAAACAAATAATGAGTGCCAGTTAAAAATGCTCAGGAATTTTGTGTGCCGATACGATAGGTCGGCACAAGTGGTAACTGTCATGATATTGGTCTTTTGGTAATCATTGTTGAGAGGAACGAACTGCGGGGCCAACACCCTGTCGATGTGAGTAGAGAACGAAAAAAAAAGATAGGTACACTCGAATTGGTCTCGAGGCGAAACAAATTCCTTTGCAACACCATCTTCAACACGTGATTCAAACCATTTTTCGAGTTGTATTGGTTTGGTTTTTGAGATCTTATTTGGTCCAAAAAAATCATATTCGCTTGAAGACCCTCTAATTGAATTGGTGTCGATTTACGGGCTTTGATATCACTATATATCGACCTGCTCATGAAATGTAATTTTTACAACAAGATAAAAAAATTTTTTAGAATTATAGTACCGATTGCAACTATTTTTATTATATCACTGAATTGGGCAAATGTGAAATTTTGTAGAATCGTTTTCACTGTTTTTGATTCCAATCGACATAGAGCAGAAAATCAGATTTACTGACTTCGGATTGTTTCCGAGCCAAAGCCAATCGGCAGGTTTTTCGAAAAAAAAAACAATATTGAGAGATTTTTGACAATCTGTTTAAGCGACAATTTTTTAAGAAAAAATTTCGATTTATAAAAAGTATGACCATAAAAATGTTAGGTTCTTAAAACGAAAAGTTATCAGAAAAAAAATCAAAAATTATTTGAGATGGATTTTATTGACATACAAATGATGAAAATATTGTGTACACAAAATTACGAATGTGATGGGAAAATCAATATTTCATCGAAATTGGCTGCGGACAATTTTACAGTTTTTCAAACAAGATGATGGCTCTATTAATGTGTTGGTCTCGACATGAATTATTCTATTAGATGCCATTTTTGAGTTTCGATGATAATTCCCCTGTGTGCTCTTTAGTCATAGCGAATTTCCGTCGTGAACGTTGTCGACTTGAAAAAAAAAAAACACTTAACACTCGAAAAATTGTTTTTTCCCCTCTAAGGTTGTGTACATTTCACTTCCGAAATTGTAGTTATTTGTTGTCAACTAACTATATGAATAGTTGTTAAATACTAGATAAACCAGTCGCCTACACCACATTCGTTTTTTTTTCCTCGACGAACATTGATTCGATTCTAAAAGTAGCCGAGGGTGCTCATAGTTGTCAAACAAAAACTCTTTGACATATTTACACAGAAAACGCCTCAAACGATTTTTGAATTACAATTTGGGGGGGGGGGTTTCTTTTTGAAAGTCGAGAGCGTCGACGTTTGATCGCCTATCGCGAATTCCTCGAATTGCTCAATCGAAATTATTCGGAGCAATATGATCACGATCATGACCAAGCTAGTTTCCCAAAAATTGCACTATATTAGGATTTCTGACAAGAAAAAAAAAGGAAAAGCTTCAACTTGAAAAGCTTCTCATTCATCAGAAAATCGCCGCTTCGACAAATTGTTTGATTTTTCCATATCTCTGAAAATCAAGCAAATTATTAAATTGATATATTTTCGACGACCAAACGACTGAACGAAATTTTAAAAAATTATTGGCAATGTGTCAATGCGTCGAGAAGTAAGCGCAACTATGTACATTTCATTATAGCGTTAATATTCAATCAACGATTTTAATTTAAATCGACACTGATTTCGCGATTTTGAAGACCACGCCCACAATATAGTAAATTTCTAGAAGATAGAATTTGAGATAGTTAGATATTTACTTGTTTAGCTAGTAGATTCGTCGTTGGAAGATTTTCAAGATTTAAAATACTCAGCCTGGGTCTGACTCGCAGAAGGTGATCACCAGCAGCTGGGACCTCGTGGCCCGAAAAAACGTGGCTCGTGCTTCAAAAAACGACTGAGTATCCAATTACTTAAGCAATTCAATAAGCTAAAAACCGAACCAAGCCCAATCTCAGACATCAATACTCGACTGATGTTCGTTATTCGGCTAGCAGAGAACGGGCTGCTTACATCATGAAGCATTATGACCATGGGCACGAAAATCTGGAATGCTGTGATCTGTCCCCACGCAACGTAAACAAATCAGGGATCGACTAAATAATTAGTAAGTAAGATGAAAATTTATTTTCATTACTTTCTATCTATTAGCCCATGATAAAATGAATTTTTAGAAAAATGCGTTGTCTAATTTGAAAATAAAAAAATTTTCAGGAAATCCATGAAAAAGTGAATACGCGGCTCGAATTTCAATATCAAGATCATCGAAAAAAAAATCTCAAGGATCTGCACGTCATGATTCTCGTTGTACTGTATAATTGAGATGAATCTGGCGGCTCTCGAATTTCGTTTTCGCCCCTTTTTTTTGCCCGTCGTCACACTTTTGAAGCCGCCTCGCCCGCTGAGCCACTTTCACGCATTACTATGCCGCTCGTCAGTCCAGTCAGCTTGCCATCCATTGTCGCAATACAAAACTTTTTGGGTGCTGCTGCTGCTGCACACATACACACACGGGCGCACACACAAAATCCGACCGACCGCCATCAATTTTTTTCAATAGTTCTTATTTACCACACATGGCATCGTCGCCGTCTGAATGGATCGGGGCGGCCGCTAGCAGGCGATGGGAGGAATGTGCCGTGCGAGAGGGTTGGGTGGCGGAACGCACAACAATTATTTACCTACCTTCGAAAATGATCGCCGCCCACCAGCCAACCCAATTGTTTATCCGGGTATCTGTTATATAAAAATCGCCGAGAAACCAACAGTTTTCAGTTTTTGTTTGCTGTTCGACTACTACGACGACGAGCATCTCGCAGCGAGCCCGAACGAACCAATTATGTGGCAATTCATGTAAGCCCCCTTTTTGCCAATTTTTTTGGTCTATATGAGTTTTTTTTTATTTCCAATCAAATATTAATTATATATAAGGAATGTAATAGCGCCTAAATTTTTTCAAAGGGTTTGGAATTTTTTAAGTAGCCTTAAAAAGGAGTATCGGAAAGTTTTTTTTCGATTATTTTATGATTTTAATTTTTTTAAGTTAAAATAATTGCGAGGTAGTTAGAGACCACAAATAAAAACAAGAATTTCCACTAAAATCCTCAATGTGCCATTTAAAAAAACATTCTCTATTTCACTTTTTGAATATCTTTTTTTTTTGCAACTTTGCTTTTTTTATAATTTACGGAGATTTTTAAAAGTTCCAACAACTATATTTCGAAAAACAAATTTCACACTAAAAACGTATAAAATTTATGCGAGACGTTTTGCAAATGTGGAAAAAAATACCGTAGCACAGTTTAAAGGCGCACTGATCGAAACTAAGCGGCTCCCGCAACGCGTGAGAGTACGGTGCCAATATAAGCGGCCGAGAATTACGTTTTTTTTTTTACTTTTTATCCATTTTTCCCTTCTAAATAAAATAATACGTGTAGAAATTTGAATTTTTCGGAGATTTCACAAAATCGTGGATGCTTATTTCAGTATTCTCGCCGCTCTTATTCCAATCACTTTCGAACAGAGCACAAATTGCGTCACATGCGTCTTCTCATCGAATGGTACGTCGTCAATTTTCGATAGTTGTTTAACCTCTAACGATTTAACATCAACAGAGCACGCTGAAGAAACACTAAGCTTTCATAACTATAACCAAGCATCCAATTCGGAAGAGCTCGGCTTTCTTCCGAATTATGAAGGCGATGGGAATACGAATCGGGCAATCGTCGATGATACGCAAAAACTCAACAACGGCTTCTTCAAAAGACACCCGAAAATGCTGGCAAAACAAACCGCGAATGGGGTGTATTACTTCGAAATCGACGGAGACTCCCTTCAAGCCCCTAATAAATCGGCTCACCCAACCGATTTCATCCAATTGAACATCCAAGCTGACAATGAGGAAGAAGCGACCAAAAACATCGTCAGCATTCTCTCGAATATCGATCCCGAGTATATCAGCAAACAACTTCAAGTTGATTTCCAATAGGCTCTCTTATTGTTGTTTATTTGTCTGTATATATGTAAATTATGTAATAATATTAATAAAATCATGCGAATTAACAACCTACTAATAAGGAAGACGATAAATGAGGAAATTCGTGTTTCCTGTAGAAGAAGGAAAACAAATTAACACTAATGTATGTATGTAGTATGGTAGAATAAGCACGATAGCATATAACATCATTACCAAAAATATCGCGTAATATTAAAAAAAAATGATAACCTAGATTAATAAAATTTGAAAGTAATTTTAATTGGCTTAAACGGAAATCTTACTGCTTTAGTTTTGAAAATGTGAATTTTTATTAAGCCTAGGCAATTTTCAATGATCCTTTTCGTTATAGGTGTCTCTGGAAACACTGGAACCGCTGGAACCACTGGCTACAACAGTAATCCTAATGGACAGGTGATGCGCGATGCTAGCGGCTCGGGATCCTCGAATGAACCCGGCTATCTTCCCGATTATCAAGGCGACAGATACACGGATCCGCAGAGAATCCTTGACACGCAGGCTTTGAACAAGGAATTCTTCGACTCGATCGGCGGTGCCCCATCTCCGCCACCACTTACTCCAGCTCAACAAGGAATGGGAGGCGATGGAACTCAGCAATACCAATCGGGAAACGGTGTTCAGTATCAGCCGACCGGTGGATATGGAGCTCAACCGCAACAAACTGGATACCAACAGCAACAGCCAACGGGATACAACGGGCAGCAGCAGCAACAGATCGGCATGCAGCCGCAGTATCAGCCAACCGGGCAGTACAATGGAATGCAGAGTCAACAGCAAATGTACCAGCAGCCAGCGCAACAGTACAACGGAATGCCACAGCAACAGCAGATGTATTCGAACGGATGTCCAATGTGCAGATTCCGCAGATACATCGTCTAATAGTCCTTTACTCATTCCCCCCCAATATCACTTCACAGTTTCCCTGCCAGGTCTTCACGAGTTTTTTCTTTCCTCAACAACAACACTACCAAAAATAAATGAAAATGATATAGTGAAACAATTATATTAATGTTTTCCCACATTTTTGATGTCTCATGTGCTCATTTGAATCGAGACCCCCCACACGAATAGCGGCAGTCGTTCGTCGAACTATTCATACTCTCATGAATAATGAAGGCGACAGCAATAAGGTGAAGCTACACGTGAATCCGACGATACGCGGTGGACAACGCGCTGTGTGACGCATTATAAATGGAACTCGGAACCAATTTCGATAATAGGTCCCGTAGCGACTTTTGTTCTTTTCGCCCAGTTGCCACCGGATACCCGAATTAAGTCAATCCGTTCGATGGCCGCCAACACCTGTCCATGGCTAATCTATTAGAGGGGGGGGGCTACATTCTGGTTCTCTCAAAAAAAATGTTGCAAGAAAAAAATGTGGAGGAAAAGAAAAGAAAATCAAATGTGCGACAATTGCAGAAGGCTCTTTTCATTCCGCGCGCAAGGTGAACATTTCCGCTTCGTTCAGATTAGATTCTTTTTTTTCGTTAGACGAAAAGGTCAAAGAATTCGACGAACTCTCATTCTTTTTGTGTATTTCTGATGACGAACGAACCATATGGTTTATGTGAATGAAAATCTGCTGCTGCTACTGCTGCTGCTGGCGAAAAAAGTGCAGCAGAAGCATAAAAGGGGAGATGTCCAGAAAGGGGGGGGGGCGCACCTGCATGCTGGGAGGAGGTGGAGGAGGAGGCAGAATATATAATGATGAGGAAGCTGACGGAGGGAAGCCGTACCACCATCGAAGCACACCTTGCTCAATAATTTTATGGCTCGCCTCGCATTTCGTGCTCACTTCGGGACTCCGCCGCATTTTTTTGTTACCTAATTCATCTGCCCAATTCTGTCTGCCACATTCTTAAATTTTCATTATAATTGGGTTTCGAGAGAATAGTAGACTCTATTTAAGAATTCAAATAATCCGTTGTTCGGGTTTCGGCACAAAGTCGATAGTAGTAGGCACTTCGTTCGAATTCATTCCTCACGTTTTTCATTTGTTTGCTCATTTCTTTTGGAATTCTCAAAAACACACCATATTTTTTGAATTTCGAATGTTGTTCCAACATGTCAGAATTTTGAGCACATTTTCCAAACATTATTCATTCAAGTGAACATACTTTTAAAAAATAAAGATCGAAAATCCCCCTTTCTTCTATACGTCAATTTTTTGTTTTTTTTTTTCCTTCGAAGGGTCCCAAATTAAATTCTACCGTAGTTTTTTATATGTAGTAATCGTGTGAAAACCCCATTCCACTTCAGCTTTTCTATGTATTTCGAAGTTCACCTGAAAAATTGCCTACGAATTCGTAATTACGTCACAGTGTCGTCACAAATTTCCTACAATATGCTTCATGAACTACGGTAGCAATTGTTCGTGTTGTGATATCCTTGATGTTCTCTAGTCATTTGATTTCTTCAACATCTCAACTACGATCAAATTATCAAATCAAACGAGATTAATGTGCAACCGGAAGAAATTGCCGATACATACATGTATATATATATTTTTTTATAAGGCGAATTTTTGTTTTCTCGTTTGCCCCAAAAATAAATGAGTGTTCAGTTTGAGAATAGTGGAAGCTCGAAGAGGCGAGTGTTTAGCGAAAAAAGAAGAAGATTGGAGCCGGGTCTGAAAAATGACGATTCCGGGTCTCAGCAGCAAAAAAATTGTGTATGTGTGAGCTTTCATCTTTGGAGTTTTGTCCATCTGAAAAAAAACAGCGAAAATGCAGGTTTGACAATGTTTATTCAGTTTTCGTCCAACTCCACTAAATTTCACATTGAGGGAGAAAATTGGCAAATTCGATAAATGTTGATATATTTGGCAATTAGGGCCAATTCAATCACTGGCAAAATGTTTAAGAGTCTATTCTGCGAAAATTAGAAACGACGTCACCAATATCGTTTTTTTTATTTGGCAAATTTGCGTTAGGTTTTCATTATTTTGAGAATAAATTACATTTTTTCGAGAAAATTTTGTTCCCAAGGAGAACGTCTTCAAAAATTGGTTGGAAAACAATTGAGATCAAGAATTATTTAGGGACCATAAAAAAACGTATGAAAAGATTTTTACCAAATCTCACATTTCTACATTATTTTCAGCAGATACTTTCGTTTTTTTTTTCAATCAAAAAACATTCTAAAAATTGTTCAGCAACCTTAAAAATCAGAAAAAAGGAGATGGATATTTTTCCCGTTTTTGGCCATTCAATTCGATTCCTTTCAGCTCATTTTTTGGTGAAATATGAATATGTCAATTAATCCAATTCAAATGCGCATATATTTTTTGCGTCACAACGACCGGATGAGCACTTCCCACTCATCAATCGTCGCGAGCATATTGCAGAGCACAACAAAAAAATGTCTGTAGAAACTAATACATATTTTTTTTGGGCTGCAAATTTGCTCAATGAGCCGTCAATAATCGATGTTCGTTCCGAGAATTCAGACACTTTTCAAATGTTTGCTCGCACTTTTTTTTCCGAAATGAATGAGAATGAATCGAACTCGCCGTCGGGCTTCTCATTCCTCTTCTTTTGTACACTCATTGTTATTATGGATTGAATAATGGATTAGCGAAATTCCGAGTTTATCAACATTTTTTTTATTATGATGTGAATTTTATTAATCCCCCAAAAAGCGGGATTTAGGCTGAAAGGGAGGGGCGTGTTTCCGCTACAAAGTATCGTGATTGAAAAGATTAAAATTCATTTTTCAATTTTCATCGCGAAGAAAAACGATACCCAAGATTCTGAATTTGTGTAGATTTGCCTTTAATTCAATTCTAGGTTTGAGATCCCTTCTTAAATTTTCTTTTCTGTGGGCAACTTTACTATATCATAATTAATCGATGCGAATTTACTAACATCCCAAATTATTCTATTTTCTAATTGTTATTTTCAATATGACTCAGCTATTCAATGAAATAATTAGAAACAGACTTTCGATCAAAAATTGTCTGGTTCGAGATATTCTTCATCCATTCAAAATAATCCCATCCATCCGTCTCATTTTTTCGTTTGCGATTGGCATCAAGTTCGGGCATCTCACTCGGAAATATAATTAGATATGTGAGAACCAGTGTTGTTAAGGCAACAAATTCGATATCGATACCTAAAGCCGCTTTCGGTGTGAGACGCAATATAGGCAACACACGTTTGCCTTGCTCGTTGTTGCCATGGTTTTGCTCTCGGCCTGAAGAGCCTTCCCCTTCTTTTCCGTCGCTCTATTTCTCCGGGGCGGTTTCGAACGTTTTGGCGGTCGGTTAGGGGGGTGCCCCCGTTATTCGCACAATCAATACCAACGTTCTTCTCATATGTACATATTTTTTTCGTGTGTGTGTGTGTGTGTTTTTTTTTTGCCGCTGTCTATTTTTTTTCATATTTCAGGAAGGCTGAAACTTACGGGTTCGTGGACCTGAGCATATACCCTCAAGAAGAAATACCACACTCGTGTGTGTGCACGACAAGGATACATTATGACTGAGGATGTTGACGGACATATCCATGACAAGTTTGACCTTCAGGTAGGTCGACTATTACTTCTTCAAATATCATTTAAGCAAAAAAAATATGTGGGAAATTATTTATATAGGATTACTTTGATTCTTCTATGATCACAGTTTGCTTATAACTAAAACTTCGAGGCCATGATCCCATCTGAAACTGTGCCAAGTATTAAATACATTTCAAGCTAGTGTAGGATTTGTCAACGTCACGCGACTGGGGAAAATTGGAAAAATCCCAAAAAATTGGGACAGTGGTCTTGGCGCAAAACTAATTGTAGATTTACGGGATTAAGGATAGGATATAGGCGCACAGAGCGCACCGAGACCCCCCCTTTAACGTTTTGTTGTTGGCATTTTGCCAACTTTCAGCAGTTGCGCGACGCCTACAATGCGAAAATGCTCGCTAAAATCAAAAATAGTGTTTGAATCATTCGATTATCGCGGGCTGGCTTTTAAAATGTCCAGTTAATCAAAAAGGGCTCAAAATTCCCCTCAGTTGACATTTTATTAATGCGCCTTGAAATACTTATAATTCTAAAAAGTTAATCTCTTCCTTCTTTGCGATAACTACAAGTTTTCGTAACGAAACCAAAGCCGGTAATTCAAATGATAAAACAAATCGTGCCATAATCATTTCCTGATTTCCTGATTCATCTTTTTTTTTATTAAAATCGAATTTTCGAATATTAAAAATCTTTGGCAACAACTTTTTGTTATTGGTTTATTTTTCGATTCCCGAATTTTCGGTTCCGAGAAAATTGAAGATTCATTTCCGCAAAACAAAAATTTCTCCTGAGAAATTCAATGCGGAAAATTTCGGTTGGTAACACACGACAGAAAACATCTCCGATCTTAAAATATTTGGAAACAGAAATATCATCTGATGTTGGTCTAAAGTTTAGAAGATCAAAACAGCAACACCGAAACGCAAAGTTGAACGAAATCCGGAAATGCGCCAGATTCCGGTGTTCACATCAGTCTCGTCAAACGGATGTTTGCGTACATATAATATATTTAAGACAAATCGCAAATCAAGATTGAAAGGTCAAAAAACCGAACTAAAGATTTCTTTAATGCTGCCTCTCGTTTTTATGCTTGTATCGAAGAAATATAAATATCTGATAAATGACGTCATTAAGAAATCGAAAATTTTGCGCATTTAGTCGTTAAAATTGTTTGCCAATTTTTAAATGTCGATTTTCACTAAAATTTAAAAAAGAGAATCAAATATGTGCAATTTTGCGTGCGTATGTATGCACATTTTTACCTAGGGCAAGCTGGCCGCGCTTTTTTGAATGTTTTCCCCATTTTCTTCAAATTGTATAATATATGAAGCGTGCGTGGAAATTTGAGATTTACAGTTTATATCGAATGCCTGCACTATTTTTTTAAAAGGTACGCAAAATCTACGATATTCCAAATTTCGAATTTTTTCGAGCGCATGAGCGCAAAACTTGCAATTAAACTAATTTCGTATTCATGAATTTTTCTTTTTTTTTAGAAGAGACTTGGAAAAGGAGCATACGGAATTGTATGGAAGGCAGTTGATCGAAGAACAAAGGAAGTGATCGCTTTAAAAAAGGTTTAATTCATTTTTGACTGACCCAATTTTGATTTTGCGTTTTCAGATATTCGATGCTTTCCGAAACAATACCGATGCGCAGCGGACTTTTCGAGAAGTTATGTTTCTTCAGGAATTTGGGAAACATCCAAATATTATCAAATTATACAATATATTTCGAGCAGATAATGATAGGTGATCAACAAAAAACTCGCCGGTGCCTCTCAATTTGTTCTTTTTTTCAGAGATATTTATTTAATTTTCGAGTATATGGAAGCAGATCTTCATAATGTGATTAAAAAAGGCACAATTTTAAAGGATGTGCACAAACAGTATATTATGTGTCAGCTGTTTCGAGCAATACGGTTCCTTCATTCCGGCAATGTTCTTCATAGGGATCTCAAACCATCAAACGTCCTTCTCGATGCCGATTGCCGTGTGAAATTGGCTGATTTTGGGCTTGCTAGAAGTCTCTCCTCGGTTGATTCGTAAATAATCACGTGAAATAATTCGAAAATTTTAGTTGGAAGACTATCCGGAAGGTCAGAAGATGCCCGATCTCACTGAATATGTGGCCACTCGTTGGTATCGCAGTCCGGAGATTCTTCTAGCTGCAAAACAGTACACAAAAGGTGTCGATATGTGGAGTTTAGGATGCATTTTGGCTGAAATGCTCATTGGTATTGTCTGATTCGATTCAAATCGAAATGTTGATGAACGTTTTGAAGGACGTGCCTTGTTTCCTGGATCCTCAACGATAAACCAAATCGAGAGAATCATGAACACGATCAGCAAGCCATCAAGAGCTGATATTGCAAGTATTGGCAGCTACTACGCGGCTTCGGTGCTAGAGAAGATGCCGCAAAATCCGCGAAAGCCAATCGAATCGATCATCTCGAGCTCGAGCCCAGCGGTTGACATGATTCAGAGGTATGTGTGATTATCCCATTTTGTCGGTTATTTTCGTGATTTGTTTCTCTTCTTCTAACAAATGTCCGCCATTTTTAGCCTAAAATTATATTTAATTGAAAGGTAAATAACAAAAAAAAGAATTATCTTTAATTATAGGCTTCTCATTTTTGCCCCGCATAAACGAATGAATGTCGAACAATGCTTGGTGCATCCTTATGTCGTGCAATTTCATAATCCGTCAGAAGAACCAGTGCTTTCTTACGAGGTAATTTTGCTAATTGAAAATATGCTAATAGGTACTTTATCTGGAAATCATTCAGGTAAACTTACCGCTTCCTGATCACGTTCAATTACAAGTCGACGACTACCGCAATGAGTTGTACAGGTTGATTAGTGAGAAAAAGATGAATGCCCAGAAGATTCATCATGAACGGATTCCTCCTGTGACTCGTGATCAAAGTCGAGCTCCGATTGCTCAGGCTGAGTGCAGTGATACGGATTACGATACAGCTCGAAGTCTAGCGAGGGCCGTCAGCGTTGATAAGAATGCGAGCTCCCACGAGAGTAGCAGTGGGACATTGAGAGGTAGGGGATTTGAACGTTAAAAAAACGTAATTCTTATGAGCATAGTTCAGAACGCGCTCAATCTGCGGATAGTCGCTCGTCAAAAGAAGGATCATCAAGTGTGAAAAAGTCGAACTTCTCGACAAAAGAGCGGCGAAGATCGATCGAGCGCGCAAAATTGTTCGCCAACATGGCGCCATCGAAACTTCTGCATTCTCATAAATTGATCTCCAATTATTAGTTGTGCAACAACTTGTGAGGGTCGCTGTATCTTTCGTTTTTAGTTGAATAAAATTAATTGGTCCAATACGATTTTCAACTAGCCAGCAGGGCGGTCAAAATTAAGGCATCGGTGCGGACCGATCTTATGGACCTATTCATGCAATGGAAAAATTTAAAAAAATCAATTTTTTTCATTTGAATTCCCTATGCACGCACGTCAAAAATTACAAAAAATTGACGCGATAATTCGCTATTTATTTTCAAAGGCGCACACGAAAAGTTGCGCGGGTCACGTCGCGAAGTCGGTACTGTAATTTTTATTTTTCATTTTGTGTGGTAGTTTTCCGTATTTTTCAAAAACTTCGAAGAGAAAATTACGAACGGATTTAAGAATGAGTAAAAACAATTTACTCCTAATTCGACAATATTTGTCTACTTTTTGTCATTTAGATGCCAATTTTTATGAAAAATCGTGATATTTGTGTTAATTTGATGCAGACTTCGCTCGATGACGCTTCTGATGAACTTTCAGCGTTTATTAAATAAAATACTTCTACAGATTTCCAAAAGAAAACGTTTTAAACGCTCAAAAAATAAAAAATTCGAAAAAAAAAGTCATTAAAAAAATACAGTACCGATTTCGCGGCGTGACCCGCGTGACTATTCGCATGCGCCTTTAAAAATAAATAGCGGAGAATTACGATATATCGCGTCAATTTTTTGTAATTTTTGACGTGTGTGCAAAGGGAATTCAAATGAAAAAAATTGATTTTTTTTTAAATTTTTTCATTGCATAAATAGATCCATTATTTTTAAAAACATTCAAGGGAAATTTATGCCACAATCGTACCGTTTCGTTGAAGATTCCATCGAAACTCGAAAGTTTCCCAGAAATGGAAAAGGACTTTGAATCACCGCCAAAACATCGGTGCTTGCAGACTTGTGATATTTTTGCATTTTTCTCGCAAATATTTTTTCTATTTTTGCTCTTTGATCTTGCTTTATTAACATTTACGGTTTTAAAATCACAAAAAATAAAAATGCAGTTTCGACTTTGGGAAGTATCTTAAAATTTGCGTTTGGGTAGTTTGCTGAAAAAATGAATTTGGCTCAAGGGACCAAAAATGATTGTTTTCCGTTTTTTTATATTCTCAAAAAACATGTTTTGTAGCTCTGTTTTGTACTTTTATTATAAAAAAATGTGTTATTTTTTTCTTTCTTCATTGAAATCTTTGTTGAAAACATATATCCTTTCGCGGATTAGCTAATATGGTCCCCACGCACCCCCGCCGAAATTGAACTCGGTCCGCGAATATAAAATACATATAAAATGTGATGGTGCGGTTTTGGGCGGTCCCGATGTATTATGTATTATAATTTTATTACATTCCCTACCATCTGTCGTCCTCTTTTTTGCTCTTTTATGCGTTCTGTGAGTACCAACAGAGTCTGCCGAAATAGTGTTTAGGTGCGAGAGACGCCGCCCGCGCTCGTGCTCATTACCCGATACATATATTTGTGTATTAGTTTTATTATTTCGAAAGGACACTCGCCACGACCAACGGACCCGCCAAATGTGCTTATAAAACAATGGCATTATTAATTTAGACAAAATTGGATGCGATGTTGTTTCGTTTTGGGAAGAGCACGAATTGTAATTTCATTTTCTTTTTTTTGCCTCAGTAGCGTTGGAATTCATCAACAATTTTATGGACTTTTTTGAGAATATTGAGATCAAATCGAAAGACCCAAAAAAATTGGTATTTCGGATTTGAGGGAATCGAGAATAGTTGATTTTCTGGCGGGACCACCATTTTGTTTTCCACATTCAATTTTTGATACACTTTAGGAAAAATATAAGCACTTAAAATTTGAAAAAGAGCCCTGCCAATTTTTCAGCGAGATTTCGTGTTTAAAGGCGCATTACTGGTTTTGGCGATGTGCAGGAGACCCGACTGATTATCATTTTTTTAAATATTTGAGTTAAATTAAAATTTGTAATTTAAAACTATCCATGATGTGGATTCGGTAGGACGGTAAACGAATTCCTACTTTTTAAAAAGAAAATAGAGAAAAAGGCAATTTAAAAAATAAGGAAAAAATTCAGTCATTAAAAAGATTTTAAAAATATAATAAATTTCTAATATTTTTTCTTTTCTCTTCATTGAATTTATTTATTTGTTTTTAATCGGTTGGTTTTGGTTCAAACATTGGGATCCATAGCTTCAGCTCCTTTTTCCAAATTTTTAACCCTACAAGTACGACACTCCATTCACACATCGCCCTCAATTTAGCGTGTCGGGCTAACCGCCGTGGGCGGCTTTTGATTCGACTAATTAAATTTTCCCCATGTTTGTACCAAAATGTTCAACGGATGATCTCAAACCAATTGTCTTCTGCTCGTTCATATCGAATCCCTGCGTAATTTCTAACAATATTTTCTGAACAAACGGAGAAACGATCAGCCAATATACATTCCACTAATTATATTACGATCGCCTAGTGAAAACACCTTTAATTATATGTAGTGGTCTCGTGAGTATTTTATTGATTTTCTATCGTTTCGCAAAACGAAATTCTTTTCAATTTCGATTTCTTATGAGTGCTGCTATAATGTTTCAACTTCAATTTTCAGTTTCAAACTTTTTTGAAAAATATTAAAATGGTTTTTTTTTGAAGTTGGCCTAAAATTCTCTGGTAGCTCAAAACCAGTCGGATCCGACAAAATTCAGGCTCCGGAATCAATTAGATTCAATTTTGTCGGATCACCGATTCGAATTGAAAAATTAAACCAAAATGATTTGTACAATTTTTCAATCTTATCTGAAGAATTACCAATCGGATCGGGGGTTGATTCCGGACCAAAAAAAATTATACGTTAGATTTTTTGCATTTGTGAGAATCCGGAAATAATAACCAAATGAGCTGGGAAGAAAAGAATTATGAGACCCCGCAAGCTACCGTAACTCGTTTTCAATTACTCGAAAATCCTTTAATCTCTCAAAGTTTCCATGGAAACTCCTTAAGTAATTGCAATTCATTTTCCTTCCTCAATTCATTTGATTTTGAATGCAAGTACATTTTTTAATACGGTAACATTGCGAGATTCTTCCCATTGATTTGTTGTCTATTAAAAACAATTTTTTTAACCTGATATTCATTATGCACTCCGATTCTATTTCAATTTCAAATTTTCCTTCAAACTTTAATTTTGAAAATAATCGCGTTGACGATATTCAATTCAGAAGGTGCTCGTTCATTTCATTCATTTTTTTCGTTTCTCCGTCAATGTCCTTCAAGTTGTTTGTTTGTTCGCTGATTCGTTCGTCTCATTATAACCGATTATTGGCAATTGCAAAATGTTTGAAATCGAAATGTAAAAAGCCTCCTCCCGCGTTGTCGAATGTATAAAGGATGTGGAAAAAGACGAAATAAAAGTGTAAAGAGTGGTTTGGCGAACATTAAAAATGCATTAAATTTCAAACAATTTCCTCCCCTCCTTTTCTTTTAATTTTGTCTGTGCTGCCCGCCATCTGTTTCTGTGTATTACCCTCCCATCCAATGAATGTGTTGTCCTTCGGCCAATATTAAAACGAGAATATATGTATATATATATATATATATATATATATATTGTGGCGACCCATTCCATTCATTTATTAATTATAAATGTTTTTAATATATACATTCGGAGTGCTTCTGTGTCTTTCGCCACGAATACATATGAATTACGCTACTTCGCACTTTTGTTTTTTTTTTTCATTTATTTTATAATTCTAAAACTAAATAGATATATTGTAATTACATAAAATTAGAAATGAACTAGTTGAACACGCGGGGGAATTTATCTGAAATTATTTGTGGGTTTTCTAACAATTGGCCGAAACCAGTTCATTGTACGTTTCACCATCAATAAAAGACCTTGTTCTGCGCGATTCCCAGTTTCTTGAACAAATTTTTAAAAATTTTGTTTGATTATTATATTTTGTAGTTCCATTTTATTAATATCGTGCTGCCGACAATCATCGATGACCATTAATACACCCTCCTCGAAAGTCTGCTCAGTGGGCGTGGCCTAACAAGGTCTTGAATGGAAACGATCACTTTGATGATATTGGCTTATTATCACCAAATATTCTAGAAAACGACTGGAAATGTTTTGAGCGGAAACATTCAAATTCAGCACGCAAAGTGTAAATTGAGCGATTCTCTTAAATTTTAGCATCTCGTGATGCACTTTTTTTTCTCGATTTCCCTTCTTTTTTTATTTCCAATTTTTTTCCATTTTCTCCGTTTTAAAATATTAGTCGATTTTCAGCGATTTTGCTGGAATTTTGCTTTTTCAGAATTTCGAAATTGATTGTGTTGAAAATTTATGAAATCTGAATTTTGCTATCGGAACTCTTTTCCAGAAAATTGTGTGAAGGTGTCTCGCAACGAAAAATGCTGAATTCGAATTTTGATGTAAATTGACATAAAATTTTTTGCGGCGTCTTTGAGATTCTATTTTTTCGAGCGGAAAACGACAATAACTTTAACAAATCGGTTTATTATACTAGAAAGCAAAGAATACGATTTTATTATTTCATAGAAAGCCCATAAAAAGGGAGTAATTTATATTAAATGTTTGAAAGTTTTTTCGGAGCACCGATTGAGCGAAGCCCCGCCCCTTTTTGGCAAGCACCGCACACACGTTCAATTATAATTCTGTTTAATTGGAATTGCACTGATTTGTGATTTGATCAGACCAATTCAAGTCGAATTTCATAATTCATTTCGAAACGCGACGATTCATCATTAAATATTTCAAAATGCGTATTTTCATATGAGATCAACCCAATTGTCGTGTCGGGACCCCATTACTTATTGTGCATTGCTCATTTTTGGCTTGCCCCCGGTGCGATTCTAAAAACGCGTCGAATTAATTTGAATTACTCATTAATCGTTGTCCCGCCGCTGTCGGCGTCTCCTCAATCCGCCCGCTATCTCCCACTCATTTATTTTTCTTTCACACAACAG